CTTGCTTGAGCATCATGCTGAAGAATATGCTGAAGAGGGTCGGTGCCAGGACACAATCCTGCTTCACGCCGTTGGAGATAGGAAAGGGTTCGTAAAGGTCACCATTGAGTCTGACCTGGCCGCGTTGGTTCTCATGCAGCTGGATAACCATCTGTAGAAATTTAGGGGACAGCCAAGACGTTTGAGAATAAGCCATAGACCAGACTTACTCACACTGTCAAAGGCTTTTGTAAAGTCAACAAAAGTGACATACAGTCCTTTTTTTGTTCACGGCACTTTTCCTGGGGTTGGCGGAGGACAAACACCATGTCCATCGTGCCTCTATTGGCTCTGAAGCCACACTAGATCTCGGCGAAATTTTCTTCGGCGATGGTTGGTACGAGCCTGTTAAGCAGGATCCTGGCAAGTATTTTGCCAGCGACGGAGGGTAGCGTGATGCCCCGGTAATTGGAGCACTCAGACCTTACACCCTTGTTCTTGTACAGGGTTATGATAGTAGCATCACAAAGATCTTGTGGCAGCTTTCCCTGCTCCTAGCAACAGACGAGGAGAACGTGAAGTTTGTTAAGGAGCGCCGGACCCCCATTCTTCCAGATTTCTGGTGGAATGCCGTCAACTCCCGCTTCTTTGCGACTCGTGAGTTGATTTATGACTACACTCAGTTTATCGAGGGTGGGTTGTTCATCGAGCTCCTCTTTGAGTGAGAGTTGAGGAACACGATCAATGGCAGAGGCCTGCACAGTGCGGTTAGCAGAGAGGAGGGTCTGGAAGTGTTCGGACCAGTGAGCGAGGATGCTTGTGTTATCAGCGCCTCGTAGAGGTCTCTATAGTCACCCGCGTCAGCACACAGCTGAGTTTTCATAGCCAGGTGGTCCCACCAATCGTTCTTTATTCCTCTGAGTCTGCGCTGTCGAGCACTACATGCACATCGAAAGTTAGCCCTCTTCACAGGACAGGTCGGTTGTGCTAGGTGGACTTGATGAGCTTCCCTCTTCTTTGCTAGTAAGTCCTGGATCTCCGTTTCATTTTCATCAAACCAGTCCTGGTTCTTCTTCTTTGAGTGCCAAAGAACTTCCTCAGATGTTTTCTGGATGGCCGATTTTAGGTTCTCCCATAGGTTGTCAGGGGTGAGGTCAACAGCTTGGGGGAGTTCGTCGAGTTTCAGCTGCAGGTCTGCCTGGAACTTGGCTTTCACCTCCTCACGGCACAGACTGCTGACGTTGAGTTTCTTCACAGGGATACCTATCTTCTTTGGTTTGGGTTTGAACTGCAGTTTGAGCTTGCAGCGTACCAAACGGTGGTCAGTGTGGCACTCAGCACGGGGCATCACTTTAGTGTGTAGAACGTCTTTCAGGTCTCTCCGGCGCACGAGCGCGTAGTCAAGTAGATACCAATGTTTTGAACGAGGGTGGATCCAGGTTGTTTTTAGGCTGTCTTTTTGTTGGAAGACTGTGTTGTACAGAGATCGTGCAAGAGGCGCCCGTTGTTGTTACAGTTTCCAATGCCGTGTCTTCCGAGGACTCCTTTCCAAGCTCCGGAGTCCTTTCCAACTCTTGCATTAAAGTCGCCAGCGATGAGGACCTTGGCGACTGAGCCTTCCATAGCTGACGAGCTCCACCTGCCCGGAGCAAGCCTGGTTATACTGCGCCAGGCACCCGCAGTCGTCCTCTCCTTTTAGTTGGAAATCCAGGGGGCACCACGAGGAGGTTGGAGTAGGACTCGAGGTCTGCGCTACTCAGAGGATGTCATAGGCCCTGCTCACCCATAACCGGTATCCAGTGACTATGTGGACCTCCATTTGCCCCCCAAATGGGCTTCACAGAATACTTTTAGTTTAAACATAAAGGTAACAGCTAAAGGATAATACATGGGTGCGCGTGGAAATGGAATTTCTCTTTGAGTGTTGAACTTGATAGCTTGTGACAGAGCGTAACGAACGAATGAGATAGCAAGTAAATCTGGAAAGAGACATATCGTACCTACAAGCATCCATGTATTACATTGTGCGATGAGGTTC